AAAAAAAAAAAAAAAACTGTTGTATACACTGTATTTCATGCAGCAATGGCTATGGTTTTCAAGTTAAGCACTGATCCTGAAGCAGCATCAGAAGCAGCTGCTCTACTTCAAGCCTAAATTATATTACATCAAAGGGATGTCAAGAGGAGCCAAAGATTTTAAGTCCTGCCTTAATATCACCTCAGTATCAACGTCAGAAATCTTATCTACTGTATGTGTCAACTTCATGATTATATTGTATATTATCTTGTCCTTTAATCTGGTAATGAGCCTTTAAAACTAAAGTTTCCTTAAACAATTTAAAATATGTCTATTGGGTAAGAATTTAAAGATTTTGTTTCAATTATTTTCTCAAATCATGTGATGCAACCTCGATATTATTGGATCTGTCTCAAGCATCGTCACTTGCCTCCAGGAAAGGGAGACATTGGAAATAAGTCAACTTATCGCATCAGTCTGCCAACACTGTTAACACACAGCTAACAACCCATTACAGTATAACATCAAAACAGTGAAGACAAGTCACAGCTTAAGTTTTTTCATCTCGAACTGACTCAAAAAAAACAAAGAAAACAAAAACAAATCAGCAGCAGCTAGAAAGTCAGAAAAAAAGTCAACTCACACTCTTTCATCATGCCAATGTCAATGCAGCGTTTGAGGCGACAGGCCTGGCAGTGACGCCGGTTGTCCTTGGTGATGGTGCAGCTCCCGTTGAACGGACAGGTGAAGGAGGCTTTACGCTTCATACTGCGCCTGTGGGATTAAATCAATTAGTCGAATACTCATTTAGAATCATTTATTCTCTGTGGTGGTTCAAATACTTCATTGCAGGGACTGAAGGTGGTGACTTTCTGCCTCTTGCTGGACGCTAAAGGACTTTTTAGTACAAATCAAGATGCAATATATATTTAACCCTTTCAAAACAGAAAAACTAACTGAACTATTGAAATAAGCAGTTAAGGATAAATATTTTATTTACAATTTTGGAACAATTATCACAGCCAAAGTAATGTTTAATGTTTATATGTATTGTACATATATTTTACTTAAAACATATACGTAATTACCAATTTAACTCTACCTTAACCATTCGTAATAATATATACGTTGTTTTGAAAGGATGCTGTCTTTATTCCTCTCCCTTTGGCGGACTTAAATTAATTATAACACTTCATTATTTTAGAATCCTTGACGAATAAAAAAAAATGATGTGCGTTGTGTGTCTGTTCGTCTGTGAGTGAATGTGAGAGAGCGAGCGAGAAAGACGGAGAAAGGAAAAAAACACAGAAGGATTATGTACTCCACTGAATAATGTATAGTGTTCTGAAGACACTGCATGAATGTTCATGCAGCCAGAAAGAAAAGCATACTGTACCATAACAGACACACTGTATACTGGCTGTCATACACGCATCTATTTATTTATTTTATTTATTTGCTGTTATTGCTGTAATTCAATGCAGATATTCAATAAAAACACTGATTTCATTAATATATCAATTATTTAGGAAAAAAAAAACAATTTTTTTTATGCAATACTGATTAAAATTTTTGCAAAACTGAGAAGACCAGAAAAAGGTATCCACAGTGTTGCAAACAGACGGTCAGAGTAAAAATAAGCCTAGCGTCTGAATAGGGGAAAAAAACAGAGAAACAATGAACTGAATGGAACAAATTACAGTCTTGAGATTTGAAATGTACCGATTCAGTTAAACGTTGGCAGAAAAAACACTGTTACAGTATGATGCCCAATCTAAAGCAAACAGGGTGCATACTGAGAGCACCTCCTCCACAATGAAAGGCTGCTAATCACACCTCAGATTCAACAAAGAGAATAATCCCATCATCAGACAACTCTTAAGAACATAGAAAGCAAAATAGACAACATAAACACAACTCAAGGATAACACGCACCTGAAAAACCCCTTGCAGCCCTCGCACGTCATGGCGTTGAAGTGGAAGCCAGTGGCCTTGTCGCCGCACACGCCACAGATCCGCGGAGCGTTGCGGTCGAACTCCTCCGGTCCGACCACCGACGTCGTCACCGTCATGGGCTCCATCACTGCCAATAAAGGGGAAAAAATAGAGAAGAGATTAGAGCCAGTTTCAAACTGCTGGCTTGCTCCTCAAAAAGGATTGAGTGACACAGAGTGTCTGTGTGTTTCAATGAGTTTCACCAACCTACGACAGAGCTTTCCAAATCAGTTTGTTTCCTCTGCTCTGGTGTTGTGTGGGAGTGTTGGAGTGTGTGTGCACGATGGGGAGGGGTGTGTTTTCCTCTTCTTATACTAACAGGTGTCAGGCAATTAGCATATTTAGCAAAAGGCATTGACAGCCATGCTTGCAGCTATTGGCTGAATGACTCAGCAGACACAGGTACACACGAACAAACACACACACACACACACACACACACATTAATACACAAACAAAATATTAAGAATCATGAAATTACAACATAAATTGGGAATCAGAATTAATGAGAGAAAGAAGTCCATTTGCCAAAGGGAAAGAAATGACGGATACATTTAATACTGCCAAGATGAAATATTCTCTTCAGTGCTCATTTTTCCACACGCGCACACACACACGCACGCACACACACACACAGACACGCAGACACGCAGACACCATCTGGCCGTCCACAATGAAATAAACAGCAGCAGAGTAACACACACCGACGGAGCAACTGTAAGCAAACTAATCCATATCAATCTGTACACAAAGATCCTGTCTCAAGTCTGACTGAAGAGAAGAGGATACTTAAAGGAAGTCAAAAAGGAGAGGGGAGAAATTATAGAGGATGAAAGGAACAGTGTACACGCAGTGGGTTCAAGTGGACTGACAGGACTGACAAACGCTGCCTGACTGGGTCTTCAATCATATCTTAATGCATATGCTGATAGGAGCTTATGAATGCTTCGGCCAAACTGATCGAAGTGCAAGAAGAAGTAAAAAACTTTGAGACACACACAGCACACAGTGTGCTAATCACGTAGTTTTAGTGGCCCAAAGTGAATTTGTTAATGTACTGAAATAATGTTAATAATTATTTCTGACTGAATAAAGCTTATTAGGAAAAATACAGGGATGTAACGGGATGTAGAGTGAATTATTTTTGGCAATGCAGATTATATTATTGTTGTACAACTAACTTAGGTCTGGGTCTCAAGGGTGTTAAAAACACAATATTACATTGTACTACCTTTAATATTATTATTATTTTTTTTTTTTTTCTTTACTTCCCTAATATGGTGTAATTGCTGTTTTGCTGCAGGAACAAAAAAACATGAGTCAGAGTTAAGCTTTTGTATGACTTAAACATGAGCGACAGCTTTATTGGTTTGATTTTATGTTCACATCTACATAACTAGTACAGGATGAGGTTACAATAACAATTCACTGTTTTACACAATGTTTTCCGGGAAGTTAACATGTCCATTTCATTGTGTCTTTAAAGACTTCAAAATTCAGACTTCAGTTCAATTTGTCTGGAAGCTCTCCGACTCCAACACTGGGGAACACTAAACCAATATGTTCTTCTGTATTTGCTTTCATGTCAATGATAAAATTTGAAATGTGCTGAATGGAAATTTGTTTGAATTTAATACAAGCAAAAGACTCAATCTGTAACAAAGAGACCCGATGCAACAAACACTTGGTTAGTAGGTTTATGGTATTGTTGCTTAAATAAAGGGATCTTCGCCTGTAGACAAACAACACTACGGAGTAAGAGAGGGAGACAATCAAATGAGGACAAAGAGAGGAGGGGGTACATGCAACGAACTCCGTCTCAGCGGGGGGAAACGGGTCACGTGGCAGCAGAATATAGCCTGTGGGGAGTTGACGTGCATAGAAGTAGGACTCAGATAATGTCAAACGAGGACAAAGAGATAGGAGGAATTGGCGGGTGGCGAGAGCGAAATAAGAAGGGGAGAGGGGAGGCAGGTGAGAGCAGGAGCGAAGGATGGAGACAAACATAGTCAGACTCCATTAGCTCTCATTACGTCTTGGCGAGTTGAAGCCTCGGCACCGGTTCCCAGGAAAACACACGTATGAGTGAGCCAGGAGCTGCTGGCTGTGAAGCATCAATACTCGGAACGCAGCACACACACGCACACACACACACACACACTTCATTATAGCTGGAGTATAACTTTAATGCATGCTGACCATGAATGCCGTGTTGGTGCGTGTGTATACATGGTTCTCACTTACGCACGGGGAGTTCTCTCATTCACAAACATATCAGTGATTTCAGCTTGTGTTGGGGTTCGGGTGGGGAGTGCGTTGACAGGACAGATGTGCACACAAAAACAAGACACACAGCATTAGTCATCATGTCACGTAACAGCTTTTGTTTTCCTGATGCAGCAGCAGGTGAATAATAATAATAATGGAGAGACAGTGTGTCAAACATATCTGCAAAAACAACCCCAAAACAAGCCACGGTTTCATTAGTGGTGCTGATTAACAACAGGGCGAGTAGGCTCCAGGTCTGTAATTAAACACTCTGCTGTTATTTCTCCTTTAATCACTCCTCTGTCACTTCTTTCCTCTCTTTATGTGTTTTCTCTCACTTGTTTCTCATTTGTAACACTGCTTAATAATTAGCATTTTTATTAATTTATAGTCAGCATGATTAGTTGGTAGAGAAAAGGGGGCAGACTTTTTAGCTGCCAGTCTGACAGGTAATTCTATCTTTCGTCCTTTCTCTCTCCCTCCCTCTCTCTCTCTCTCGCTCCCCACCACTTTAACAATCTTTGTTCTGTTTTCTCATGCACACAGCAGAGGAGAGACGGGGAGGGGTGACACGCAGAGTCGAACCCATTGTTGTTTTTCTCTTTAAGAGGCAGCAGTCAGGTATGGAACATATTACAGAGAAGGAGAGAATGTCCTGGTTAATCATTTTTTCATGTTACATAATTTTGGTTAGTTTTTTAAAATTCCTCATGTGACAGTATTTTAGTAGAACAGTCAACCCCAAACATGTTGTAGGAGATACAGAGATTAGTTTATCCAAGTGTTAAAAGAAGAGTTGCCCCCAGCCGCCCGGGCACTGGCCTTTCTTTACTGTTCTTTGCTGTTTTGCCCTGTTAGTTTTGCAGTGCTGAGCTCCTTCACTGCAGCTGGGCTCTGCGGTGCGAGCATTTCGCTGCACATCCAAATAAAAATATGAGTTTATAATTGTGAGAAAAAAATTCCAGCAGGAGCTGGCAAAATTTGCTTAACTCAGATGCTAACAAATCTCCTCCTCCTTTCTTATTAGTAAAGAGCAGTGCACAAAACACATTTTTATATGTTTCTTTTGCAGGTTAAAAAGACAAATGTCGGCAGGAGGTCAGCTTAACGTGAATTATGTGAGTAACTTGATGGCAGGCCACAATAAAATTGGCCAATGCCTGGTTGAAGTGCTTTCTGATCACCGGTGTCTGTACTCTGCCAAAGACTGTTTTAGAGGACTGAGAGTTTCCATTAGTCTTCTCTATAGCGGATTACATCAGTTTAAGGAGTCACATTCTGCCAGTTAATCTTAATCAGTCATATCATATCAATAAATAAGGCTTAGAATCGTTATAGAGCCCGGTTAGCTCAGTGGGTAGAGCTGACCCATGTACTGAGTTGCTGCAGCGGCCCAGGGTTCGAATCCAACCTGCGGCCCTTTGCTGCGTGTCATCTTTGGCTGTCACTATCCAATAAAAGGCATTAGAAATTTCTTTTAAAAAAGGCAAAAAAAATAACTTGATTGAAAAAAAAAAAAAAACTGATTAAATCTCACTAAACCAGATTGTGCTGTTCATTTGTATTCATTTATTAAATGTCCATGTTTATTTGTATGCTTAGGCACCAGTTATTAATTTGACAACCATGTCAACAAAACAAATTGAATTAGGAGAGACAAGAGAGGCAATGTTGCTGTACTAAACAGAACTCCACTGTCTATAAAGGATTTTCTTTCTGTGTGTGTGTGTGTGTGTGTGTGGCTGTGTGTGTGTGTGTTACATGTTCACAGCTTCAGTCAGTAAAAGTTGACAGTAATTTCTAATTACTTCTGATCCTTCTGTATTGTCTAGTTAATGCAGGAAAGCAGAAGTTATATTATAGTGAAAATCAAACTAGGACTCTGTACATGGTACCACAGCTGTGCACTTTTAGGCTGCCCATCTCAGAAGAGCTATGTATAACTGTATTAAAGGGCTACAGTTACTTTAAAAGGACATGTATGCAAATAAGTAAATAAATATGTGACATAATTACAGAGAAGTCTTTGCCAGAATAATTTCAGTGTCAGTATGGTATGTGTAATGTTGTGCATCTTACACCAGCTGACCCCAGGATGGCTTGTTTACAATGTAGAAGTGGAACTGTGTTGTTTTGTCAAGCGGATGCCGCCGTTCACCTCGTATCCCCTGTCCACAGCCGTCTGACTCCTATCACGCACAGTCCTTGCTGGTGTTGACACAACAAAATTCAATGCTACGTCAATAGTGTTGCGAAAGACCCAACACTGAAAACTGACTTTTGCAAAACTTTGAGTTTTACCAACTTTGACAAAATGCAATCCACAAGATGAATTCCCCCCTTCAAAGTCGTGTCCTGGGGGTGTACATGTGCAGACTGATATAAGCAAAACAGAGGAGGCTTAATACACAAGCTGTGGCTGTTAACCGTGTACTACAACATCTAGAATCAAATGGCTGAAAACATAACAAACGTCATGCTCATGTTTACCAGGACAGTCCAGGAGAATCATTTTTTGCCTCGTTAACCACTGCACTGCAGTAGTGTTCAATTCTCAGCTATGAAACGCGTACAATTTCCGGTGTCATGGCAACAACAGTTTTTGCATCCCAAATATCTGCGTTTGATTCCTCTTTCTTCCCTTTACTGTATGTTTCACTTTGCAGTTCAGCTCTCCCTCCCTTCCTCACTAACCTCACTCTCCATCCTGAGCTGTAAACACATTTGTCCATGTTGCTTGTGAGAGCTACGCAGAGTCGGCTACAAGTGACATCTAATGTCAACAGATGAAACATTTAGCGAGAGGGATAATCAGGCCGG